AGAGACGCCGCCATCTCGGCTGCCATGCGGGAGGCGCAGAGGGATTCCGTTTGTCGGCTCCCGTACATGTGAGCAAGCTTATTTGCGACGGACTTGTTTTGGCGTGGTACTCGCAGGTTAGCTCAAGGGTAGTTAGCGTTGTTCACCTGTGCCTGATGTTAATGTGCCCGATTTGCATAGCTTCGGAAAATCAAATGTTTTAGAAGCGCGAGATGACTTGGCTTTCTTCACGTCCCGGATCAAACACACAGAAGGCGGCGTGCGCTGTGTAGTTGTACATTGAGTGAAAGTGGATTAAGCTGAACACACCATACATTGAGTCAGGCTTGAAACTTATGCAGCTCAATGCTTTGGGGTCTGCATTATTCATATTCGCTCTGGACACCTGATCTTGAGCCATGTTGATCAGTGCTAGTCCAAGCTGTGCAACGTTACACATGCCATATGCCATGTTTAACACACACCAGCATTCATTCGGAGACCCCGCTAGTCAAGCAATCAATAGTTCGCAATCTTCACAGGTCCATTACGGTGTTGGATTTATACGGCCATGTGGATCAAAGGCTCGAGAGGCATGATCATTGGGGACTAATGGTGTCGTCCCCGACGTTTTTATGATCGGGCTTATCCCCTTTTCAGATATGACACTGCAGAGGCGGCTTAATGTCCTGATGGAAAAATCAAGATTGTGGTCGAGCACAATGTGATAAATCGCAATAACATAGCGGGGCGCCTGGTGTTGTCGCTTCTTCTAGGCTTGTGCCGAATGCAGCAAAGTGAGTTGATGGTGAATCGACGAAGGCAAGCGCTTTAATATGTAAGGAACGAAACATCAAAACATGAGCGTGAATTATTTCGATAGCCGATCTCGGCTTCAGAGCACCTGCAACCCAAGGAGGGACCGGCACTGGCACCCAGGTCAGAACCCATCACTTAAGTAGCATGGTTGCATTTTTGATTCAGACCTCCTAAGCCAGGCATGACTACGTAAACACATCGACCGCGCGGCACAATTCTACGTCATGGCATGCGAAACAAATCGAATAATGCTTTACTCCCGGCTAAGTGGATCGTCAAGAAGCACTCCCCCTCCACGGGAACCCCTCTGCAGCTGTGAATCGCCGTAACACGTGAGAGCTGACACCTTAACGCGGTGCCGTCTCACGGTCGACACTCCGCAATTCAGCGTGCACGCTTTGGCGAGGGCTCAGAAAACTTGGCGCGTTCTGCGTAGAAATTCCGTGCCGTTTCCTGGCTGTCGCCCGCTGGTAAGATAAGGTGATCCACGTATCATTCCTGGAAAGCCCGCTGGTTAGAATCGTTTCCGCCAAGGATTGCCCGATGAATCGTCTTAGAACGACCAGATATGGCCCGCAAAGTGCGTGTAGGAATGTGTGCTTTCTACTCGGATCAAATGGATAATGTCTTTCTGCAAATGGTCCTCAAACTCCGGCAAGTTGCTTCTGACAAGACATATTATGTCAACGCGTGTTGAACCACCGGGATACTGAAACAGAATAACGGAAGAATAGATGTGATACCTGGGTCTTCACTGATCAGAGCTGACCCCTACAAAAATTAAATTAGGTGCAAAGTGTTGTATATATATATATATATATATATATATATATATATATATATATATATGTATATATATATATATACATGCATTCAGGGAAATATCAAATCTTGTTTTCAAATCTTCCAGGCATGCAGCCTTCCTTCAAAAGGGGTCTTGTGAACTGCCTTTGAGTACTTACGATACGTTCCGTATCGCCACACGCCTTGTGCCAATAATTATTTAAAGTCCAGACACAAGATAGTAGATCTCATTTATGTTGTGACGTTTCGAAGATTACCAGAGCCAGTCGTGGCAGTTTCAAATGACCGGAATTCAGAATCCACTTCCAAGCAGAGACATAGCACGCGTAGATAAAATCGGAGTCAGGCGAACATTGTTTGCTGGGTCCGGGACCTACGGCCTCCTTTTCGAGTTTTTTTTTTTACTCGCGTGTGGGGCTCCGAACTGAGATATTTGACTTTGAAGTCCTTTTGGTGTGTAAGACGGCGGTAAGAGCCTTATTCCTCAGAAAAAGCCAGGAGACTGGAGATATAGATGGGTTGATATTTCGGCAACATGGCAACATGGCATGCTGCTGAAATATCATCCCATCTATATCTTCATTCCCCTGATCTTTCTCCGAGGAATAAGGCCATTACTACCGTTTTATGTATGTGAATAATGTTCCTCGCAAATGCACTGAACAACTTTCATTTAGGCATGTTCCCAATTTGAGGCTGAAACACGCGGGACTCTCGCAACTGTAAGATAAAGGCGTGGGACGAGACGACGAGAGCGAGACGACGAAGGGTGGCGCATAGTTCAACCCACTGGACACCGTATGTTTTTATAGGCACAGCCATATAAAGCAGTCCGATATTTCGTAAGTTGTTTGGTGCATTAACGGGGAAGGTTATTTACATAGATAAGACAGTAGTATTAGCCTTGTTCCTCAGAAAAAAAAAAACAGGAGAATGAAGATATAGTTGGATTGATATTTCGGGAACATGCCATTATCGAAACAATAGCGGAAGTGAATTCACTTCTGCTATTGTTTCGATAAAGACATGTTGCCGAAATATCAACCCAACTATATCTCCATTCTCCTGGTTTTTCTCGGAGGGATGAAGCTAATACTATTGTCTTATCAGTCTGATATTTGACCAAAATTTATTATTCTTGTACGATGGTGTATCCTTTTGTCGATGCACAAGCTATGTGCTAAACTCAGATTGTTCAAATTCAGACTCGTCCACGGACCGCGTGTTGCAGAAATTTAAAACACGTTTTTCCTACGTCATGAAAAATGGTTTATGCCCCAAATCACGAAGATTCTGTGCGATGTAACCACGAGGCAATTCCTTTCGATCCTGGTGGAGGAGCGATTCCGCCGCGGGCGTTTGGAGTTTGAGAATAACGCGAAGTTGTCCTCTGAGTTGTCCAAATAAAGCTGAGTTGTCCACTTTGCGACTTGCATGTACGAATAATGAAAACTCGGCGGCTCCCTGAGCAGCGAATAATTGTTTTGGCCATATATTTTCCGATGCAAATGTAACAGACGCCGAGTGCAAATAAAGATGTACTTCTTAAAACAAGCGCAGCAGCATTCTTAAATATGAAAAGTGGTGGAAGTGGAAATGGTATCATTGACAATGCTTGAGACTTTCAGCCAAAATGCAAAACATCGACACGCGCCCGGCTGGCCTGTTGAATACGGTGCGCTCGAGTGGTGGTCAGTTTGACCTCCCGCGTTTTCAAAATTTAAGTTGGCTAAAGATACCAGATTCACAGGCGAAGACCGGCCTGTATGTGAACCACTTGTCTCAAAATTTGAGGTTTTTAGGTTGTGACCTTGTGCAATTATGCCGCACTTTTCAAAAATTACTCTGAAGAAAACCTTGCGGGCGGTAAAATTGACCCAAGCGCGTGAAAAGGGAGGCCAGAACGGCCCTCGAAATAAATTTATGCAGTTGTTTTGGATGTTTTGCGCTTAGTAGAAGCGGTCAAGCCTAGTATCCTTTGAAGGATAAACTGTGAAATGTCGTAACAGACTGGTTATGATAGCTTTCATGATGACCAAGCGACCAGCTTACCCGGGGGTTAAGCACATATCCAAAGCGCGAAAGGAAATGGGATAGACAATGTAGCTAAGACGCATTCACTGCGCTTCAGATCCGCTGTTCAGGGGTGAGAGCTCCCTTACACTGCCACAAACATGTGGCAGTAATCATTCCGGACCCCTCCGAGCATTCGTCTTATGTAGAGGGCTCGGTCTAGACCATGCTGCTCCCGGGGCCAGTGACCCAGAAAATGTTATCTGCAGCGTGATGCTGTATCACAGTGCGACGTAAACTACATGACCGCAGTGTCGCCAGTCGAACGGATCGAACGTCGCAGCTTATGTAAGACATATGGTGTGACAACATTGAAAACGGCACAGCATGCGCGACTATTTATGGTGTACCTTGCTCATTCCAGTTTGGCAAGTTGTTCTGGCATTTTGTCAAAGCAAGTAAAATTGTGTACACCACGGGTGTGTACACATGTGTACGCATGCTATCCAGTCAGCGCCATTACATTGTCAAACATACACCCAACTAAGATCGTTCTCTAAACGTTTCACGCGGACTCGGTTCGACGCTGCCCTGACCATTGTGTGTTTGCCACCGCAGCCTGCTGGTCAGAAACGAGCAAGATGTGAGCTCACGCTACCTGTCAACTGTGATTCCTTTGCTCACCCGAGCTCAGTGCCCTCCAGTTCAAACAGCATCCTCGCATGGAGACGCAGCGCGTCCGATTCTGTCCCGTGTCAGTCGTACGGTATCCCGTGTCAGTCGCACGTTGTCCCGCGTCAGTCACACGCTGTCCCGTGTCAATCGTACATTGTCACGTGTCAGTCGCACGCTGTCCCGTGTCAGTCGTACGCTGTCCCGTGTCAGTCGTACGCTGTCCCGTGTCAGTCGCGCATTGTCCCGCGTCAGTCGCACGCTGTCCCGTGTCAGTCGCACGTTGTTCCGTGTCAATCGCACGTTATCCCGTGTCAGTCGTACGCTGTCCCGTGTCAGTCGCGCATTGTCCCGCGTTAGTCGCACGCTGTCCCGTGTCAGTCGTACGCTGTCCGGCCACCATCGAATACTGCCCCATCCCAGTCGGACATTGCTTCATCACGGCCAGATCGCAATCGGAGACGGCCTGTTTAGAATAAGACGCTGCTCTGTACCCGCCACAGCCACCTCCGTTCCGTTTCAGTCGGGTGCTGATAGGAACCCGTTCCTTTGCGGTCCGGTGTGGTACGAATCTGACTTGTTCCAGCCGGGTGCTGATCCGGGCCCTGCCGTTCCAGCCTGATGCTTATCCGGCTTCGTTCCGTCCCAGCCGGGTGCTGACGCGGCCCCGTTCCGTTCCAGCCGGGTGTTGACGCGGCCCCGTTCCGTTCCAGCCGGGTGCTGATCCGGACCTGTAACGGGCTGGAGGTGCGCGACACGGCCGCTTCGTTCTCTGACCGGCTGTACTCGGACGGCGCCGGCCGGCAGTCGACCTTCGGCCGTGACCCGCTCAAGGAGAACAGCCTCTGCTACCCGCACTGCTCCACTTTCAGTGACGTCACACCCAGGTCAGTGCATTGCACGGGCCGTTATCGGCATTGTGCCTCATTCAGCTACTTTACACCTTAATCAGTGAACTGGACGTGTTTCTGACGGATGCCTAGCGTTTTCAAAAATAATGTCCCGGTCTCCAGCAGCGTGGCGCGTGACATTTGCGACAGCTGTTAAAGACCCAGGGTTTTGCTGGTCGTGTTTCGAGTTCGACGCAAACATGTCTGCCTTTCCAAGTCGTACACTTGACGCCCAAATCATTCATGAAAGCAAAAGCGACGTTCTAAACATCACCTGTTGATGCTGACAAACACGCATCTTAGATCACGCACAGCTAGGTGAGCGGCATCTCTGACCTGAGACCCGGCTGCGCCACCGGCCCACCAGGGGAGTGATTGTGCGCGGTGACTGATGACGCCGCGGTCCGTACCGAGCCGGCCGATTGGCGCGGGCCGGTCTCCGCCGGGACGCTGGCCGGCGCGCCCGCCGGCCCCCGGCGATCAGGCCGAATGGCGAGCCGTGCCGCCGCCGCCGCAGGCCGACTACTAACGGCGCTCCGGCATCACAATAACGACTGGCCGGGGAGGAAGGCGGAGCTGGCCCGCGCCGCCTCGATCTGCCGCCAGGGAGCGCGCCGGCATCACAATAACGACTGGCCGAGGAGGAAGGCGGAGCTGGTCCGCGCCGCCTCGATCTGCCGCCAGGGAGCGCGCCGGCACCACAATAACGACTGGCCGGGGAGGAAGGCGGAGCTGGCCCGCGCCGCCTCGATCTGCCGCCATGGGGCGCGCCGACATCACAATCACGACTGGCCGGGGAGGAAGGCGGAGCTGGCCCGCGCCGCCTCGATCTGCCGCCAGGGAGCGCGCCGGCATCACAATAACGACTGGCCAGGGAGGAAGGCAGAGCTGGCCCGCGCCGCCTCGATCTGCCGCCAGGGGGCGCGCCGGCCCCGGCTGGGGCGGGGGGCGGGTCGAATTCCACGGACCATCACCGCCGAGAAACGGGCACAGAGTATGCAGTAGCTCAGTGTTTTGTGAGAAACGTAGGTATCGGTAACGAAAGAGTATATGCACTACGCGATGAAATAATCTGACCGTTGTGGAAAGAAGACGCAGGGGAAGATCGAAGCAGGTTAAGACGTATGTAAGGAAGTATGTCGTTCTCACTTGTTGCTTGGTGCGCCCGCTGAACGCTTCTCACAACTACAGCCTGACAATGCCTTGACTCAAAGACAACTTTTTCGTTATTCGCGTAGAAAAGTGCGGCATCTATGTTTGATTCTGATGTTATTCTCCACATACCATGCGTTAGGCTCTTAATTTGTTTCTGTTTTTGCAGGCCAGTACTGCGTTACATGAATGCTACATTAAGTACAAGAAGGTGCTCGGAATTATGGTGGTAATCTATTTCACGCATTCGTGGCCCAGGGTCAAAATAAATAAGTATTTGTGATGATATGCTTAATGCTTATGTTATGATTAATGAGCGCATATGATAAAAATCACTAATAGTTTGTCGAACAGGACGTGTTTCAGAATAACATTTTCTGTTCCTCATAGGGAAATTTCATTCAAACATTTTGCATTTCCTAACCCTTTTAATGGCTCATTTCAGTGCCCTGAATATATTCTACAGCTAGTACAATACTGGATATGCAGTATCATACGTTTTTACCTTATACGGTGCAATGGACAGGACCTTGAATAACGTGACAAGTTTACGTTTGTCGGGTCATTCGGTGAGGCAAATTCTGGAAATGTATGATATTGATGGCGTGCGAAAAACGTTGGAATATTCGAGACAAATGCAGCAGTATACGCATCATGTGATCATTATGTATATGTTTGTTAAACGCATGTACGTTTCTCGCTAGGTTCTCCAGCACCCAACGATCAGTCCAGACATAGCGCGAAAGTGCTACTACTTTTATGCCATGGCGTTCTTCGTCTGAATCTGGGCGGCATTGGGCCCGGTTTAGACCACGCATCGTGGCCCGTTCACAGACCGGAGGTTTTAGCCAGCCTGCCAAAGGAGTAGAGTGGCCCGGTGGCTCTGCTGGGCCACACCGCTCTCGGATCAGCCGCTGCTGACGGTCGCAGAAGCACACTGCGGCCCCCCGGGGCGGGCTGTGCTCAGCCAGTATCGCGCAGGCATTCTTGTCAGCATTAGGTCGCCGCCGCCGCAGCGGGCGCCGTCTGGGCCTCTGTCAGTCGCACACAGCTCCCGAGATTACCTTTGCAGCCGGCCTCCACAGTGCTAGACCGGGCGGAATGACCGGCGACAGAGCCGGCTGACGCTCGCCGGCGCTGGCGTCAAGCCTTGGCCAGGAGGTCTGATGGCGACAGGGCCGGCCGAAGCTCGCCGGCGCCGGTGCCAGACCTTGGCTAGGTCTGATGGCGACAGAGCCGGGCTTGGCCAGGTCTGATGGCGACAGAGCCGGCTGACGCTCGCTGGCGCTGGCGCCAGACCTTGGTCAGGTATGATGGCGACAGAGCCGGCTGATGCTTACCGGCGCTTTGGCCAGGTCTGGTGAAGACAGAGTCGGCCTCGGCCAGGTCTGATGGCGACAAAGCCGGGCTTGGCCAGGTCTGATGGCGACAGAGCCGGCTGACGATCGCTGGCGCTGGCGCCAGACCTTGGCCAGGTCTGATGGCGACAAAGCCCGCTGACGCTCGCCGGCGTTGGCGCCAGGCCTTGGCCATGTCTGATGGCGACACATTGTGTGAGGTCCTGACGAAGTGTCTGCTTCACTGCATAGCTGAGATTTTCCGTGCTTTTGAATTAAATGCGGATGAATTTGGATCTGAATTACGTGTGTCTAAAAAATGTTATCAGAGGACCATGAGGATAAATAGCGTCATTGACAGTTTCGTCTTAGATTCAAAGTATTTAGCTATCACGAGAATCAGTAAGCCAGTAAGACGTCTTTTGCGGCTTGTGACACGCTGAACGATCATAGTTATGAGCGCTATCGTCGCACAGATAAAACAAAAAACATAGGACGCATCACCATACGTGTGTTTGGAAAAGCATACCAGTAGGTTTATAACAGAATCAAAATGCTCACATTCTTGATTTCGGAAAAGCATACCAGTAGGTTTTACAACAGCATCAAAATGCTCACATTCTTGATTTCAACAGGCAGATTGGACTGCCGCGTACCGGATACGTTTTTGTTCGTTCATACCTTACGTTTTCTGACACGTTTTCAGGTAATTTGCCTTGAAAATGGCTGGCTTTCGTCAGCCAAAACGAGGCGGAGCGATGCGTAGGTTATCGACCGTTGTCGGTCGATGCCCTACGCACCTATGGGTCAGACAGTCATGTGTCGGACAGTGATCTGTCAAAGCATGCATTAGCCAACAGATGGGTCAGACAGTGCTGAGACCTCTTAGTGATCTGTCAAAGCATGCATTAGCCAACAGCACGTGATCCGGTTCACGTCTTATTCTGCTTCGGTTACGAAGATGTATATCGGCGGGCCCATGTTGTAGCACAATGACGTATGATCAAGTGCAGACGTCGGCCCAATTTTAGCCAACAGCATTATCGGCATCTTCCTTCGTTGGAATTTGTTGACCTGCTGTTGCAGTAATGAATCATCAATATTTGGACCTGGACCCTTCGAATCATGTTTTACACTTTTTTGGTCACGGGGAAATATTGTGCTTTGTACGCTAATCAAAAATAAAAATGGTACGTTTTTCAAACTGCAAGGCTACAGGAAAATTATACCTGATGGAACCACCCCGAAGCAAATACAAATGCGTATAGTGCAGCACCTCAAATATTTCACTTCTTGATCTTGCTGTCTTCGACTTCGCTCGAGACCAAAAGACGATATGAAATAGCGTTTTAAGACTGCTTCGAAAGACGTTTGTTTTGGGCGAACTTTGATGAAGATGAATTTTGATGGATGTGAAAAGTCGTGTTTGTCAGCGAATGTATCGGCGTTACGTGTGTACCGTCGTTATGTTAACGTATCGGCGTTATGTTGTGATAATGACTTCAGTGTTACAATAAGTCACTACTACGATCTTTGTCATATGTGCTATGTAGCAGAGCAATAACATGTTGATTTGACACTTGCGGCCATTGCAGTCTGTCAGTGACATGCGTGGTGATACAGGCATGACAAGGTACTTCCAATTGCGCTCAGGACGGAGATGGACGCACTGGGGCTCAACACGCCGTGTCGTATCCATGGCAACCCCAGCTCCATGGAGGAAGAGTTCAACTGCCAGAAAGGTCGATCCTGCGGCCTCGGCTACTGCCCGGAGGTGTATAGGGCGTTCGAAGGCGTCAAGTTCATAGCCGAAAGCACCAGAAGGGAACAGGACACCACCAGGGTAAGTTCAATACGAGCTCACACTTTCAGCTGCCTTCCGAAGGTGTGTGAATCATACCCAATCATGTGCTCTTAGGGCCTGGATGCAGGGATTTATGGTTGCATGCAAACGTGTGCACGGCAGGGTTCATGTGACGCAGCCGACATTATGTTTTGTGACATGGCTTTAGAACTTCCGTTTCATGAATGACACCACATCATGAATGACGGCATTGCGTCTTTAAAATCTTCGTCTTGTTCAGAGCAACTTTCCTGCTCGTGGCTTGTGGCCTTAAATGGTGTGTAGATGAGAGGTTGCAGCGCAAGTTGTATTCCTCGCCTCTCACTATATACCCTTCTCCTGACTTGCACGCTCATTTCTCGACATGTTAAACGCACTCTGGCGAGTCACGATCGTCGGCGGGCGCGGCGCGGCGGGACAGGGGGGGGGGGGGGGGGGGGGGCGGGGAGGGCGGCATCAGTGGGCGGTACAATCAAGGACATCGTATCGTTGTAATATATGCCTCATATAATTTATCCCTTCCGCGGCCGGTAGGGATAGTTATAAGCATTTGTTACCCTTGCATTACGGCTGCAGAACTACTTTACTACTTGAAAATAAAGTTTTCATTGATTTTAGATTAAGATGACATAATTTGTTTTTAAAATATAGTTTAATATAAGGATAACTACATTATGTTGCATGAATTTGCGACCTGACCTAAAATCTGAGTAACAGGTTTATTCCGTTACGTCATTATGAGTAAGATCATTGGTCATCAGATTTGACGGCTGTCCTATGGAAATACTAATGTTTGGAAACAGGTTTAAAAAATATCGTTAGTATGATGACATTCTTGCCGAGTCCGGCAACTTTCTACGAGTCTCAGGTCTGGAATGTAAAAATGAAATGACGTAAACAAATTGTAAAAATAAAAAATGCCTTATTTGCCTGAAAATGTATTTTACGGAAAAGTGATTTGCGCAGCATTTTTGTCCGGCAAATTGACGGTGCCTTTGCACATTTCAGCGTCAGGATCAGTTTGCGGGCCACTTATATGCAAACCAGAAATTAATAGATGTTCATCTGCTATTCTGGCATCGAAAACACTTGGCAGAATGCTTTAATTCAATATTTGTCAAGATCTCTTGTCCTCCATGACGGCGCATCACCCTCCCAGCTCCTCTCAATTCAGAATTGGAAGGGGTGACAATAATTCGCGACCTAGTCAGTTCTAGTTGCGTTATTGTATGTTTACATTTTGTTGTAGCTCACTCATTGCCATTGCCTTACCAAAGTCTGCCCCTACTCTTCAAGTAGACTCTCAAATCTGCGCTCCAACAAATCCCGCTGCCCACCGGGAGCGCGGGTTGCGCGGCCGGCCTGCGGCGTGCCTGACACACCTGACACACGGGCGCTGCCCGCAGGTGCGGGAGGACTGGAAGTACGTGGCGATGGTGCTGGACCGACTGTTCCTGTGGATCTTCACGCTGGCCGTGCTGGTCGGCACGGCCGGCATCATTCTGCAGGCGCCCACGCTCTACGACGACCGCCGGCCCATCGACGAACAGTACAGCGAGATCATGAGCCCGCGCGAGCGACAGCGGCTGGGCTAGCGGTCCGGGCGGCCGGGGTGGGAGGCGGGAGGCACCCGGGGGTGCGCGCCGTCCCTGCGCGGGCGCAGGTGGCGCCACCGTGCCGCGCCGCGGGGCCGCGCCCAGCCGCGCGCCTCGGGGCTCGCATGGGCTCGAGGCGCGACCGAGAGCGGATCGTCGGTCGAGTGGGTCATCAGGTCAACACCAGTAGGGTCTGTGGCATCGGAGGTACGGTGGCGCCATCGTGCGGCTCCGTCGGACATCAGTGACGTCACCGCGCGTTTGTTTTACTGGCGGCGACGTTGGGTGACTGGTGTGGCGAAAGGCGTCATGCCCTGAGAAGCAGCAGCGATCATCGTGGTCGGATTGGTTGCTCAGTTACCACATCCACTGACTGAGGAGACTTGTTGATGCCAATTGTGGTGTTCGCAGCTTGTGACCAGCGCGTGTGCCGAGCTCGACGAGCAATATTTGCTGCTTGTACAATTTAATCTTGAAGATTTTCATATACCTATAGGTGTTTGGAGCCCGCACTGGACTGAGGGTGTATGCTGATCATAAGGCCGATTGGCACCAGGATTGTTATGTGTACAACCTCAATGTTTATTGGTGTATTTTTGCCCTGGGATGTTTTGTCAAAATATCCTCTCATCCGTGATGAAATTTCTAAACGCTAGCGTGAACAAAGTATGTGAGCTGATGAAAGTGATCGTCAAATCTGACCCGAGCAGTCGCCCAAAGGTGACTCTGTGCTCAGAGTTATCAGTTTGAAAATAATCTATTGATATGAGCGGTATGTGTGTTAGATCTGAAAAGCGTGCAGATGGAAGGGATCGACATTTGTGAAGTTGGCTACGATGACTATCGTAGCGGTAAGGCTTTAGAGAGCATGATTCAATACATGCGCATTGCGACGAAATTGCTGCTGCTGCTCAATGGTTGTAAGGGGTGTTGGTAGGTTTTTACAGAAAGGATATAATTTTGGTGGTGTGAGTGATTTCACGGAGAGCAACTTCCAGGCGGACATGACCGATCTCCCAAACGCTGGAGCCGTCTTCGAATGACGTTGCGAACCCGACGGTGTTTTCGCTGCTGGGACTCGGTCTGCTTGAGCTGGGAACCCCGGTGTCTGCTCCCATGTCAAGCTTATGTACGCTGCGTGACCACCGTGTGACGTGACACGCGAACGGAAGCTGGATTTCGTGGCGCGTCTCTCGATGCCTCTCTGCTGTTTGTGTCGACTTGTGTGAGCGATCACGCTGGCCGGTGAAAACGGCTCATAACCGGCGAAGACATGTGCTTGAGTCTCAAGCGTGGATTCATGATCTCAAATAACCACCAACAATAAGATCCTGCGCGTGAATCCTTGGATCTCCGTTTGGGATGCAAACGCCCGTCTGGTTCACACGCGTCGTTTGCCAGATTAATTTACCAATCGTTGTTGGCATACCATCTTAATTCATTCTGGACTATCGGCGTTTTGTTCATGCAGCAAACCCGGACACATGGATGAAGGATACGATATGTTGTCACTGTGAGCTGTGTTGCTCGAAGCAATGCTTGCTCATGTTGGACTGTTTGGAATTTGAACTGGACAATACATGATGCAATTATAAAGGCGTTTTTCAACTCCCGGCTAACATTTTATTTTGGATTTGGACGCTATCGCACCTTGTTTCTTGCTACCTGTGTTCCATGGAAAAGCGGATATGGCGAATATAGTGAAAACATTTGCTTTTACAACGGTGAATGCAGCAGAGACCAAGGATCAGACAAACACGCCTGCTGAAAACTGGTAATTAACCTGTAGCAGCGCAGCGAAGGAGGAACTACGCTGGCCACATGCTCGACAGTGTCGTGCGTTTTCACATAACTTCAGTCATATTACTGACTTATTTACCATATTACATTGCATAGTCAAATATGTAGGTTCCATGGGCAAAGAGCACATCATAAGTAAAGACCTTTGCTTGCAAACTGAACCCATCACCCGGCTGGTGTCATTTCAGGGAAGGACACTTCATTTCCTGAAATGTTTGAAATGTCATTTCCTGAAAATGCAAATGTTATTTCTGGAAATGACACCCAGGAAATGTCATTTCAGTCTGACAGGTAATTTCGCATTCGTGCATTCTAACAAACGTGTTTCACGAACAATTTTCGGGTGACACCATGCAAAGTTTTGAGGCTTGTATACCAGCTCAAAATTGATCGAGATCGAGATGAGGCATAAGCAATTATATCTGACCTCGAAGGTAAATCTCAACACTGATTTTGATTCCGTTGTGACTTAGGTGAAGCCTGCTGTGTGGTGCCAGAAATGAACGACGCATAACCAGAACAGGTGCCGCACAGTGTCCTGACACTCAATGCAGCGACAACACAAGGGATGGGAATTCGCCAGTAGATGTGATGGAGCTGAAGATCCTCTGGTGCGATAGCTTCACCGGTGAACAGGTACGACCTGCACCTCGTCCCGGTCTTCACGCTAGCCCTCTCACCGAGCCACGGGCGCCCGTCATGGGCGGGCCCCGTGAAGCCCCTGTCTACGCGTCATGGGCGGGCCCCGTGAAGCCCCTGTCTGCGCGTCATGGCCCCGTCTGGTGTCACGGGGGTCAACCCACCTCGTCCACACGCACCGCTGCTGATCTCCGCACATTGTCAGCCTCACTTTCGGGCGGATGTCTCACGTGGCTAAGGCTCAGACAATCTGGTCTACCCACTGTAGTTTCTAGTCAGCTGTGTATTGTTTCTGGGAAGAAGAGAGCACTGGATCGACGACCGCTACGGCCGTACTCACAGTACACACGAGCACGAGCATTTGGGCAGCATCCGTCATGCTTTAAAACGGGTCACGAGGTATCTTGCGATGGGACATGAACACTGCCCCGCGACCGTTGGTTACCGCACGTGAGCAAGCTTCAAACAAGCCTGACTTCACTGCGATCGATAAACACTGTTCTTGAGCAGCTGGTGCGGCCTCTCACTGAGCTGCCGGGGCGTGGCGAACCGACTAGCTGTCATCGCCACCTTAACGGCAACGCAAAGTTGAGCATGGTGATGCGAGGCAGTCACTTCTCACACAAAGTCGGGCAGGCCGACCCTCGTCCAGGTCGTCGGTGTCCAATGCATGCTACACTTTTTTTGTCGAGGGACATGCGAGTGCATTTCGTCATGCTCGCACAACAGCATTCGCGCTCTGTTCAGTGAGCCTACTTCACTTACGAACCTAAGCCAAAGCTTGTGAAATGCTAGTAGATCCGGGGAGGATCAAGTAACATAACAGCACGGGGAGGTCCTGCGTTGCACATATTTTCTATTAGAGAAGAAAACGTTCGGACGTCCCGTCCACTATTGACGTTTGAGTGCTAACTTCACGTTGCTAGGTTCCAATGGAACCAAGTTTAATGTGCATAAATAGCGCATCAACTATTACTTATCAAAGGGTAGGTACGTTCTTATTAAAACTGCATATAAAATGTCTGATGAATGCCTGCACTTAACAATTGAGCACCGAGCCCAGCGAAATTTCATTCACTCCCTGCCATGTTCTGTAAAAGACGGTTCACTACACAGCACTCCACTCACATGTTCGTTTGTCATTACCGCACAAACCGAAGCGTCTACCTAATTACGCCGTCCAGCTGTCCGCCTCTTGTACGTAAAACTCGTCGAGGCGCAGATTGAGTTCAGTTTCTCAGCACTGCCACCTAGCGAGGTAACCAAGAGTCTGTAGTTCTCGGCGCGGCCTACTTGCGGCGGTGCCGTCTGATCTCCGAGTAGCGCTGGTCGAGCGCCAGACGGTCGTCGTAGAGAGATGGCGCCTGTAGGATGATGCCGGCAGTACCCAGCACCACGGCCAGCAGGAACACCCACAGAAACAGCCGATCCAGCACCATCGCCACGTATTTCCAGTCCTCTCGAACCTGTTGATAGATGGGCCGGTCAGGGCCAGGGATATATTCCATGCGATGAGTTTTGGGGCGGGGACAGTCGTCCTAATAGTATACTGAAACACAGTACAATACAGGTGTCAACACGTGATATGTTTACACGACTAAGCATATAATACCACTCGGCCATACACTCCCTCCAAGATCACACACAGATTATTCACGACTGCGGTCAAACAACAATATTACGACGCGCTCAATGATGTATTGAGTGCATCGCTACCATCACTGGAGTTTAAGATGCGACGTGACAGGAAAACTATCCTCAAAAGGTAGATATGCATCGAAATATTTGAGCTATACGTCGGCAGCAAACGTAAAAGGCTTGAAACCAGTTCTTAATCTGCACACGCAAGTCCAATACATTTATGAGATGTGGCTATATGAAATGCATGGCACGCATGCACTTGTTGTAGTATCATGACGATATTGCACTTACCAATTGCTGGTCCTCTTTCACCCGAGTGTTTTCAGAGATGAAGCTGACGCACCAGCTAACACGGTGCGCCTCTGGCGAGCAAATTCTGGACTCCAACTGCATACTTGACGGCATGAGGGCAGCACTACGACACCTGTTCTGGAGCTGCTTGCCGTGAACTTGGCAAGACGGATTAATAATGTCCGCGAAGCCTCTGCAACGCGGCCACAAGTCTCCTCATTACGCTCCAAAAACTTGCGGCAAGAATTACTACGGAAATGTAATATTTCATCAGACTGAAACGAGTTACGGAAACCTTCGGCGACCAGTGCAAAAACTGCCATATTTCCGTGGTGAATCTGTCAAAGCTAGCCGTTCACACCAAGGACAGGGTACGAAACCCGACACGCGACGTGTTGCCTCTAGCTGCCACCTTGTTTTACCGTGTTATGTAGGATAGTGACCTATGTCACGTTTGCCGAGACCGACTGAAAAACCATGTGCATTGACGACTGTTTATAATGTACACGTACATGCTTACACATCATTAGTAAGGGGCTGCGTGTGGCACTCATATGCGACGACAGCAGCGCTCCTCGCAGCCAAACTCACCGGTCCAGGTCCAGCGTGAGGGTGGGGGAGCGCTCCTCGGAGCCGAACTCACCTGTCCAGGTCCGGAGTGAGGGTGGGGGAGCGCTCCTCGGAGCCGAACTCACCGGTCCAGGTCCGGAGTGAGGGTGGGGGAGCGCTCCTCGCAGCCAAACTCACCTGTCCAGGTCCGGAGTGAGGGTGGGGGAGCGCTCCTCGGAACCGAACTCACCGGTCCAGGTCCAGAGTGAGGGTGGGGGAGCGCTCCGGCGGACCTGGCGCGTCATCCGCGGACGGGGCCGACGGCTCGTACAGCAGCCCCGTCCCGCCCTCACGCAGACGGGGGCTGCCGGCGGTCCCCGGCGTCAGCCAACGCTGCGGTTCTCACACTGTGAGTCTCAGCTCCTGAACCGAAGTGTCATGCTGACGCACACGTGAACGTCAACGTGCAACAGTATTCAGACTTTGATACAGATTACCCATTTTGATTACGTGGTGATTCTAACAGAACATTTTCCGCCAACCTCCGTTGTGACATCCGATATTTGCCTGCTCTGAAAGGGTTACGGGCAATATCGCGAAGCACTGTCACCGTTGGGACCGACTACATCTGACCTGACAGAGACTCTATCATGACTGGCCTGACGTAAACAGACGGAACTGGACCGGAGTGGATCGCAGACAGTCTCGGAGGGGGGGGGGGGGGGGGGGAAGGCAGCGACGACAAGGGTAATCTCGAGCAGTATGGACACCAGCACCAAAAAGCCATATGCAACTCGGACGCCATTTGCGTGACTCGGCACACACCACAGTTGCGAGATTAAGCAGCAACGTTCTTGGCAGGACAATCGATGGTCCAGTTCCGCAAAGTGTGGCAGTTTCAAGTTTGTTCCAAGGAGTTTGCCCAAGATTGATGGCATGCAGGATTGATCGCGCTCTGGCTGTTCCGAATCATGGCGTGGCCATTGTAAAAACGAAGCCGCAGCTTGAATTCGGTGGTCGATGAATCACTCCAATGTTCGGAGAAAGAATTGCGTGGGGATTTGTCAGGATCGCCAGCCATCTGAAGAGAGCACCCCTCTGAGCCGGCTGAAGGGTATAGCAGCTTGAAGCATTAATAAATATTTTCGATTTTACTATGATCATGATTATGACTATAAGTATCTTAGAGGGCGCCAACTGCAGTGGGAAATTTTGTGCGAATTCAATTTTAGCTCATTGGCGTAGCTCATGATGTAAATATGAATTGAACACCGTTAAGACAAAGCTCACCAGCCCCACCAACCGATATCGGGACAGCTCACCATCCCAGCCCACTCTCAATGAGAGACCAGCTCACCCCCTCGTCCCCAGCCGGTGAGACGGCTCTCACCTGCGCCGCAGTCGTCGCGGCCGCCGCATCACCAGCAGCCGGGGCAGCAGCTGGATGAAGAGCCGCCGCACCCAGGGCGCCATCCGGTGCGTCTGCGGCGACCTCCAGTGCACGTTCAGCACCAGCACCGTCACCATGATGCTGCCGGGTCACCAGTTCACGGGGTCAGGCTGTGGCGGGGTCTCGGCCAGCCGTCAGTGTCGGACCGCTGGCGGGGTCTCGGCCAGCAGTCAGTGTCGGACCGCTGGCGGGGTCTCGGCCAGCCGGCAGTGTCGGACCGCCGCAGAGACCGCGCACTGCCGGCGTCAGAATGCTGCAGGGACCGCCCGTCGCCAGCGTCAGGCTGGCGCGGGAAATACCGATCACCAGCGACTGACTTAGCCGGAAATTACACTGATCATCAGGATCAGACTGTGGCGGGCAGGGGTGTTACTTTCTCGAGTCGTTTTAAGGTTGACGTCACATTCATCTCCGAAACCTGACTTTTTTTCGTCCGATGTCGGCTACTTGAATTTGCCGGCTTGATGTAAAAATCTATAAAAAACTTGACAATTTCATTTCCTAGAATCATAATTGTTTTCCCTTTGGAGGGATGACTTCCTATTTCAAATTATTGAGAGCTGCCCTTTTGCGAAAAGTTTAGAATGGAGTGCAATTCTCAGCGAAGTGTCTTCGTAAACCATAGTTCGCCTCACACTGACGACTCCCGCTACCGCTGACCATGTGACTGAACCACCACAGGCAAAGTGTCTTAGTAAACCATAGTTCGCCTCACACTGACGACTCCCGCTACCGCTGACCATGTGACTGAACCACCACAGGCAAAGTGTCTTAGTAAACCATAGTTCGCCTCACACTGACGACTCCGGCTACCGCTGACCACGTGACTGAACCACCACAGGCAAAGTGTCTTAGTAAACCATAGTTCGCCTCACACTGACGACTCCCGCTACCGCTGACCACGTGACTGAACCACCACAGGCAAAGTGTCTCAGTAAACCATAGTCCGCCTCACCCTGACGACTCCCGCTACCGCTGACCACGTGACTGAACCACCACAGGCAAAGTGTCTTAGTAAACCATAGTTCGCCTCACACTGACGACTCCCGCTACCGCTGACCATGTGACTGAACCACCACAGGCATGACTGTGGGAAATACACTTGCCACTGTTCGATAAAAAATGCGTAGTTCGATCAGGGCCATCGTGTTCTTTTAAAAACTGCCACATATTGCAGTCAAATGTTCTTTATTCCAATCCAGGCGCTGTCATCGAAACGCTTGTCAAACATTTGCGGACCGGTTTACCACATGAAAGAGGTAGCATAACAAAAACATCAGGTACCTTCAGGATACAATTTGGTACAAAATATACATATTGCTAAAAGTGATGTGTCTAGGTACCTACAACCTAGTGCACCAATGTATAAGATAATTGTTCTGCATTCACTTGGCCCAGTATTCCCTCTTTCTTCACATGCATTGAGGGGCTCAAAGGGTCATTGAGGGGGGGGGGGGGCTCAAGTCAGCGATGGGGACTCAGGCCCGCTTGGAAGTAAATACAGTGAGGCCCCTCTTAGCGGGGACCACTGATTGCAAGCATCAGACCGCGGTGGAATCGCCAATCCCTAGCGTCAAACTGTCACCAAAACTGCTAAACGCAGGCGCTAGATGGTAGCGGGAACCACAGACCAATGAACATAAACCTGCCGCAGACACTATGTAATAATCATCAGGGTTAGTCTGTCGCGAAAGCCGGTAATCTCTAGCGTGAGACTGTTGCGGGAGATGGGAATCACCAGTCTTAGAATACTGCGAGAAGTACCTCTCCCTGGCTTCAGATGGCCACAGGGACCACCAGCCACCAGCGGCAGACTGCCGAGGAATTACACCCGCAGCGATGGTAGCCTACATCTCGTAAACCGCCCGTCGCGTGAGCTTCCAGCTATGTCGCGTCGCCGCTGAGCCCGGCGGCAGGGCCGGCGGCGCGCGCTGACCCGGCCGCCGCCGTCGCCGACGCTGTCCGACCGCGGCGGCTGCTCGCCTCGTTCGGCGCTGATCTACTGCACCATCCCGGCAGAGCCGATGGCTTTCGGCGAGCCCCCTGGCCCTCGGTAGCGCGCTCGGGGCGCCCCGTCGCCGGTTACGGCGTGGCAGCCGGGGCCGGCTGTCGCGGGACCGAACTCATGACCTGATCGACTCTCCGCGAACAGCGCCATGGCTCCGGGGCTAAGCTTGCGCTCACGTGCGAACGGGGTCGTAAAGCAGCCGACGCGACGCCGGGGCATGCTGCTTGAGGTAGGCGAGACTCAATGTCGCGGTCAGAAAATCCCGACCGCTGCATTACGGTACAACACATGGCGTCATAACGTTATTTAAATACTGCCGTTCCATAAGCCATGCGACGACCTAGGTTACGAATAAGATGATGGTCAAGTCGTTCATATCTGGTGTTTGCGAGCACAATTTCCAGATTTAACGGCCGCCAATTGGCTCTCAATCAATATTGTGCAAGGTGCGATGACGTAATTAAGCAATGACGTATCGAACAGGATATTTACTAAGCAGAGAAATTGTGGTGTCTAAAGCAGCCTTTTCTATTCAAAAGTACACAAATAGTCGTAAGTGAGCATGTTTTACCATATATGATGTTTGCTTCCGTATCCGCATAGGTGAAACATTAAAACATTTCCTTTAAGCTTTAACACGTCGGGTGTCGTCGGATAAGTGCAATCGTGTAGACGTTAAAGGAAATGCTCGATATTTCAAGATATTGGCGCAAGCATCAGATAGAATGAAAAAAACTCTGACGTAAGCATTGATTGGATTTTTGGCGTAAAAGAATGCCCTAGACAAAGTTATTTCGCTATATAATAAGTATGCCGACGTGACGGCTGGGCATGATGCTTGCGGTAGGCGAGACTGAACGTCGCAGTCAGAAAATCCTGTTAATTGCATTACGGTTTAACACATTTGGCACTAGCACCCCGCGTTTTAATTGTTGAAAGAGCAAGCTAGCCCGTTTCATTCAAACTTTCTTTTGTGCTATTGTCATGGCAAAGCCATCCGACGTGCCACAGATACACTACTATCATACACTTTTTAAATGAAGTGCTTCACATTTATAGAGGGGTTTGAATTGAAGTACCCATCTTGATGACCATTCTGTGCAGTTCACAGCCCCGCCCTTCTTAACATCAGAACCTCTCTAATTTCTGAGCTACACATCCCCGAAGACGGGAAGACTACTTCGGGGAGTGTTTCAGGGTCACCTTGACATTCATGACGTCATGTTAACGTTATTTATATCCTGGCGTTCCATAAGCCATGCGACGGTCTAGGTTACGAATGATATGATGGTCGAGTCGTTCATATCTGGTTTTCGTGAGCACGATTTCCAGATTAAACGGCCATCAATTGGCTCTCAATCAATGTTGTGCAAGGCACGATGACGTAATCAAATAATGACGTATTTATGAACATGTTTACTAAACAGAGAAATTATATTGTCTAGAACAGTCTTTGCAACTTAAAAGTACACCAATAACCATAAGCGATCTTAATTCATCATATCTGATGCTCGCCTCCGTACCTGCATATGTGAAACATCTCCTTCAAGCTTACATATTGGGTCTTGTTTTCGGATAAGTGTAATCATGTAAACATTAAAGAAATGCTCCATATTTCAAGATATTGACGCAAGCATCAGACATAATAAATAACTCATCCGTAAGCATTGATTTGATTTTTAGCGTAAAAGAATACCCAACACAAGACAATTTCACTATAAAGTAAACACGTTCCTCAAGACGTCATCGTCGATTACTTGATGGAACGTCTGTACGACGTCAAAACCGCTGCCAGACTGGCCGTGTTAGAATTGCCTCTGCAGTGGACGGGTTCACTCACATGTAGCATTTCAACTTGCCGAGAGGGGGGGGGGGGGGGAGGGGGCGATGTTTGCTGTAGTGTGTTCGCTGGACCGAATATCGTAATGTGCTCGTGTTTTTACCCTTCCTTGTGGTCTTCTTGAATATCTGTCCGTGATGTTATCTTTGTACCTGCATTTACATGCTAGGTTATGACACTGATGTTAGGCTATTCGATTCCCAGTCTTATTTCTGTCTGGCGTTCGATAATGTCACAAAACGTACTGACGTACGCCCTCAAGAACACGAATAATTTGATGACCATATGCTTATTGGCTTTGAGCGCTACATGGCCATGGAGGTGGCGATATTTGCATGACTTTTCTATAGCGCGATGCATGTCTGGGTGACCTTTAAATAGTCTGCACGAAACACTAAGAACAAATTCGTGGGCGTCAAACTCAGAAACTGAAGGCTGATGATGTTCAAAATGGCTATCTCAGTTCAAAACCGTACACAGATGCGGAACACGTCCTTGAACGCGCCCACAAACCTCACGGCCTCCCTCAAATGTCGAGGCGACTACTGATCTCGCAACCGCTTACCCTTTCCCTCCCCTCCCCTGATGCCATTTTGTCCAGATGGCAGTCTATTAGAGCGTACCATACCTTATCGACACGAGAATCATGGCGAAGATGAGGTATTTGCCGAGCAGCGGCACGACCAGGGACGTCGGGGGAATGATCTCCACCACCAGCAGGAAGAACACGTGCAGGCTGATGAGGATCGAGATGGACAGTGTCACCTGTGGAAGGTGACGGCCTGTGATGACTTCATCTGTGCGCTCGAGGCCGCCTGTGGACGCGGCGCGGGAGCGTGACGTCGGCGCCGGTCGGGGAACGGGTCGCTTGTTTGTGAAACTGACAGAGCTCTGCTGAGTCGGCCGGCCCGGCAGTAACACAATTTGTACCTGATTTATGAGTCTCAGCCAGTGGGAGCTGGGGTCGGCCGTATTGAAATGCAGTTCTGCTTCCAGTGCTCCCAAGCTGAAGCACGTCGGTCACAAAGGCAATGTGATCGAGAGCATTCGTCTCCGTGCCGTGATGTTAATAAGCAGTACAGATATGATGGTACCACGTGCAAGAAAACGAATTATTATCAGTTTAGCAGCCCTCAGCTGGCAGCGAAAGGTATCCAACTATTGTAATCAACTTCGCCAACCTTCTCTCCGCTGTCCGAAGGCAGGTAGAACGTCAGCACGGTCAGAAACGAGATGCCCATGCAGGGGATGATGAGGTTGACGGTGTAGAACAGCGTCTTCCTCCGCATGGTGATGTTGAACGTGATGTCCAGGTAGGGCTCGTCACAGCACGTGTAGAACTTCTCGTGCCTGCAATGCATCAGTGCGCTACAGCATCACTTTAACACTCACCAGCACCGAGCGCCACAAAATGCGCCGACTGCAGTCTGTGCGTGCCCGGTGCCCGCGGGCCGGCGGCGCCCGCGGTCGTCCTAAGGGGCCGGCCCGGCACGGCCGGCCCGACCTTGCGTCGAGACGGCCGCTCGTCGGCACGCGGCCGCTCTCCGGCAGGCGGCAGCGATCCGTCAGAAAGCGGCCCACTTCTGCCGGGGCCAGACGATCAATGGTGACGCTACAGCGGGCGGCGACAGCCCGGCTGCCGGCCCGCCCCGCTCCCGTCATATCTCAGGCGGAGGGCCGACCTGATGGTGCGCCGAGACGGCGGCGGCGACTGGAGCGCCGGCGGCCGCGCGGCCACCCTCAGGCGACGTCATCAGGGGCGGCGTCATCCGTCCCGCGACGGCGGCGGCGACTGGAGCGCCGGCGGCCGCGCGGCCGCCCTCAGGCGACGTCATCAGGGGCGGCGTCATCCGTCCCGGCGTCGTTAGGCCGTCGTCCTTCCACAGATTGTGGGACGCCGCGCCATCAGACACCGCGTCATCGGGCGCCGTGTCATCAGGTCCAGCGTTATCGGGTTTGGCGTCATCAAGTTCCGCTGATCAGAGGAACATCAATGGGTCACCGTCATCAGTCTACGTGTCTAGCACCATCAGGTTTAGCGTCATCAAACTCCTCGACTGATTTAGAGTAGCATCAAGAGGTGCACCATCAGTCTTGATGTCGTCAGGCCCGATGTCACCGAATCTAACATCATGAGCCTGGGGCCATCAGACCCAGTACCATTATTTGCAGTGTCAACTGATACGTCACCCTCACACACAAGGACTGTCGGGTCACTCAAGGAAACCCTCCTCTGAACAATTCTAGGCTGGACAGGCGGTAAGTAGGCATACGGGCAGAGAAAACTGCCGAATGTCCTGATTCACCAGCCTCGCAGCAGAGCTGTACACAAACATCCCCCGGAATGACCACCTGATACTGTTTACCAGACTACCGATCCAAAGAGGCCATTAACATGATGAGTGTAACTGGTTCTATGTAAGGCTAGTAAATAAAATGCCTACAAATATGGAAAATGTAAAGGTTGAAAGCTTCATGTTTACCGATGACTCAGGAGTACTTACCGAACGGCTGGTACATCAAGGATATCCCATTCAACGGACATGTAGAACTCTGAGAGATCGACACCCTGCTCCACCAGATCTGATCCTTCCACTTCGTCAAAGTGGCGCAGATCGACCTGAAAGAAGTGTGAGGCGTGAAATGGCTTCGTTTTGAAGCCGCAAAGATTAGCACGAGGCATAATATAATAATGAACGTGTGTTGTCCGATCGATTTGCATGGTGCTCATCTCCCGACCGCCCCCTGTAACCTGACAATGGCAAGAGGATGACAAGAGGCAAGAGAGGAAGAAGCAAGAGAGGAAGAGGCAAGAAAGGAAGAAGCAAGAGAGAGGAAGATATCAAGAAGGCTGCATCTTGCCAAGAGGATGGCAAAATGGAAGTCACATGGTGACTTGAGTCACCTGCAATGCAGCCATAGGAGCTGCATCAGCAGGGAAAAAACAATGCAGGCCGGCCACAATCGTGGCTTCCTGTACGGCCTCCAAGCATATTGTTGAAACATCACCGAGGCAAGCTCCAGTAGTAGTAGCGGTAGCCAAGCAGTAGTAGCCAGGTAGTAGTAGCCAAGTCTTCACCTGGAAGCCATCGTACGTCCAGCTGCCGAACTTCATGACGCACGTCTGCTCGTCGAAGGGGAAGTACTCGACGTCGATCTCGCAGGAGGACTTGTAGATGGCCGGCGGCTCCCACTCCACCAGACCGTTGTAGTGCAGCTTGGCCTTCGTCGCCAACGTAACCTCGAAGTTGCCGTCGGCACTGCGAGGATCAGGCGCGGTCAGGCGCGGCCGTGACTGGCGGAACGCGGTCCCCCAAAGGCGTGATAGTTAAGGCCTGTCTGTTTGGGTAGACTTCTGACCTCAAAGCCGCCCGCTACAAACGACAGACATCGCCTCGCAAAAGTGCGCATGTCGAAGCTCACCAATGCCGCTCAGTGGTCATTAAAGGGCCTGTTCCATATGCGAAAATATCGAGGCAGGCGCCAGGCATGATGGGCTAAGGTTACTTGTAACTGCTGGTATACTATTAACTGCAAAGGATGTTTTAAATAAGAGAATTCGACTGTTTAGTAAATTTGGTCCACATTGCATCATCGTGTGACGCGTCACGAAATATTCTTGTGACATAAGGCATGACTCACTTGTAGTTTCAAACGCACCGTAAAGTGGGGTTATTGATTTATGCGAGTGAATTCATCTAACGAGCGTTTGTGCGTGTGTTTTGGCATTCCCTCCAGGTGTTCTCATATATTCTTCCGTAATATATATTTCTTGCTTATTTCTGATCTGTGGTGGCATCTTCCTTCCTGGCATATACATTTTCGGTTACGGCGCTTTTCCTAAGTTATTCTATTCGCAGCCTCGTGCCCGTCTTATCTACTAGTTCCTCAAATGTCCGTGTTATTCATGGCGAAATGTCGTTCGTGATCGAGACATCTAATGAACGGCGCAATTTGATTACTAGCCAACTGCCTTCTGTGGTTGAGACATTGGGTGCTGCATCACCGCAAACACGAATGATAAAGAGCCGATACTTGTCTTGATCATTTGCGCAACCCAGCGGATGAGGTGGGATGCTCGTGTGGCGTTTTTACGACGCCAAAAGTGTCTGGGTGACTTTCCCAAAAAGGCGACGTGCCATAGGCTGCACAACCTCACCTGCATCAAGTTCAGAAACATGTGAGCTGCACCGAATAGTCATGAAAATGACCACCTCAGTGCAAACCCCACACAGTTGTGGGGCAGCCTCTTCAACGATGTCATCTCATACACCTTGGCGACCGCAGCAGGACATCAGCCGATGTGCAAATGAGAACGAACGGTAGAGCAATCATCCGACTGACTTGTTGTAGAGCACGATGTCGGGTCTCCAGATGTAGTCGGAGGGCACGTGCAGCATCTCCACGCCGCCGTACTTCTCCGGTCCCCAGGTGAGCTTGTAATCGTACCACGCCTGCCGCCGGGGCGCCGGCACGCCACGTGTCACACGTGTCACGCGGACCACTCGCGGGTCGGTCAGAACGCAGACCCAGCTATACGGTACACACATGCATACTGCATGGTAGGCGTGACAGCAATTTGGCCTAATATGAAGCTTTGTGCACACGCCATGGGCAATGTTATTCATGACTGGGCTGGACCCGGGATATGGAAACATGCGATGACCGTGTCCAATCGTCTGCTACCATGTTATTGGTAATTTGACTATGTGATAGTGGACCATATTATATATATATAGTGCTCCGCGGCGTTGTTGGCAGTTAAGCACTTATTAATATATGTATTGATATACGTTATACACGAATATTGATGCATGGTTATTGGTTTGGCAACTACAAACGTCATTATCATTCATAAATGGTTTGTGCCCGGATATGGAAACACATGATGATCGTGTCCCGTCGTACCCCACCACGTTATTGACGAGCCAGGTTTCCCATTCACGATGCGCAAATATGAATAGATACCAGCCCAAGTTTATCACCGCTATCGCTGACCGTTTGCTTTGGACGCAAGTCAGCGCTTGTGTGAGGAAGGCAGTCCGAAAACGTCGGTTATCTCACCCGTCAACAAAGCTCATTTCGAGTGTGCATGGCACATGTACCAATACGTTGTACACTGTGCATCGCTAAATATCAAGAGCTGTAATGACAATGCGGTGATGGTTTTATTTCTTCTCCAATCACTGCGCTCAAAAGATTACCACAAGAATTGCTTAGCGACGCTTACAACTTTACAATATACAATACGTCATGTATAATGCATTGTTTAGCAATGCAGGAAGTAGATCACTTACATGTTTCACCCAGAGATTGGTTGTCATAATCTGGCTCTTCAAATTCTGGAATAAAAGTAAAACATAGAGGCATGTTAGTTTGTCGCGCTGGCAGTCGTATGACCAATCATGTTCACTGTTGATAAAGACGTGGCTTGGAACTCTCGAGACAACGTGGTCTTCCGCACCACGCTCACACAAGTCGCAAGTAGCTTGTAAGCAGCATAGCCTGGAATCATTAGGGCCATGTGGTCTTCCACAGCACGCTGACACAAATCGCAGGTTTGTTTTTTCGGTGGACTGCGAACTAAGCTGGCGCAAGCGACCGCGTGAGCGCATTCGCTTTGTCTTTCCGCGGGACAGGACAACACTTCGTGCCTCCCCGGCGGCCGGTCATCAAGCAGAGAGCTTCTGGATGGAGGAAAGATGCTGGCACGGCTGGCTGAGCTGGGCCGTGACAGAGTGGATGGAGACCGGACATTGGGGGGCCGACAAAGACGGAGAGGTCGAGCCAGGAGGGTGCACCGTCTCTCCCCAGCCCACCGGCACTAGGTCCTGGGTGGGGAGCGGGCGTGGTGCCGCGCTCAGTCTCACACCAGGTCACGGCTGGTGGGGAGGGGGGAGGGGATCGGTCGACCTTACGTGCAGTATAGTCGCTGTCGGGTGATGCACTTTGTGCGGAATGATGATTGATGAGGCTGGCGACATGCATGCTGGGAGCGCCCAAATAAGAACGACCAGTTTGCGGCACTGTTTTTACTTTCAGATGGATCATTATTATTCGCCATGAAGCCAATGCAAAGCTACTGCTGCCACCGCAAACACATTGCAGGAAGTCAATTTTGTATTAAACTGATACCAATATACTTTATGGCTTTGCCTCCGTTCTTTCGCACTATTACGCTAACTAGTCTTTCCGCAGGGCTTGATACGAGCTCAACTGCTTGCAAAACTTGCCATCACAGCCTTGTCCTCCGTTCTTACGTGAATAAGAACGCGACATACCTACCTCCAGAGAAACTCGCCAATTGCTGCAAAATCAATGGACATTAGACCAGTTCTGCAAAAACGTGCCTCTGGCGGAATCGATAGACGGCGTTTCCGGCGGGCCCCACAACAGACCATAATGCGTGGAGAAAGGCTGCGGTGAGGCGGTAGGGCGCCGCTCGGCTGACCAGGCCGGCCCATTCAGCCCTGTTCCCCATCTGCCGCCGGGCCGCGGCCAGCCGTCTCTCACGCTCGGCTGAGCCGCACACGGATCCTCCATATTCACCGGACCCTCCCCGGGGGTGGCGAGCGCGATTCCCCTCCCCGGGGGCGGCGGCCGGCCGGGAGGTGCCGCGTCCCGGGCGGGCGGGACCGGCGGCCAGACGGATTGGCACCGGCATCGCACCGGCACCAGCTTAGGGGCGTGGGTGGCGGCCTCCAAGCATGTTTGACTGGTACTTGCACTAGTACTGATTTTGAGTGCACTGGTACAGGCTAGCGTTTCTGGTGCCGGTAGTCTCAGCATCTCCGATCCGGGTACCCCTTCAGTGCTACCAGCACGAATTCGACACCGGTTACCGGCGCCTGGGCAGCAAAAGCATCCATCTCCCGTGGGGTTCTCACCACGGCAGGTCCGAAGGCGGGAGTGACTGCCCGATCCACCAGTCAGCTAGATAACTTAGATCAACATGAGAGACGCGCGACGGATGCCACGGATAAGCTCATGGCGGTGAGAAACGAAGTGACGTGAGGTGATGTGAGGAGGACGAAGGTAAGGTCGAGCGAGTGAGGAGTTAACTGACCGGTGACGAGTGAACCCAATGCCAGGCATACGGCCGGACCACGAGACCGAGCCCTGCAGTCCTCGTTTTTAAACGGAGTGTTCCACTTTTGGAGCATATGTTAAAAATACACTCTGATGAAACCTTACGTCCATTTGCGTGTAATAATAGCGCTGGTTAGAGCCACGGCATGACTAAAAACGCTTCTTCACGACACCACACCCTTTTCTTTCGTAGTAGCCCCAGAGCACAACCCGCGTCCGCGACAACTGTTGTAAGTGCGACTGCCGTCGTCATGACGACGGGAAAATCTGCTGAAAGCCGTTGTCAGCTGTAACAGACTAGAGGTACTACTTTTGAGTTGTTTCAGACTGCACATTACGGGTCAGCGGGCTTAAAAGTGACGCCTCTTCTCATGTGAATGACGTCAATAAAAGTTAACGTTTGCGATTGCCACAAGGGGCGACAAAGGCTAGTCAAAGAGAGACACACTGGTTGAAGTTCGAACCAGTGTTAAAAGTGGCATAAAAGTGGCGCCTCTTCTGGTATGAATGACGCTCATAAGAATGAACGTCCGTGATTGGCGCAGCGGGCGACGAAGGCCGGCTGCCGAGAAACGCATTGGTTGAAGTTCGAACCAGTGCGGGCCAACGTGTGCTTTGGAAAGTCGCTGGGCACAACGCAGTGGGGGATAAATCAAACCCCTAGTGTACCGTTTTGTTTAATTCACGGGGTAATAGCCTCATGTTTGCGTATATTTTTCCTTGAAGGATGTTTGAAGCTTTCGTTGCATGCGTACGCAAGCATTTTGACAAATAAGGGCAATGCAAACAATGCAAAGCCTACACTTGGGAGGAGGCAAAGCAAATTCAATGTATTACTTCCATAGTGGTGAGCAGGGAGTCCAATGACACTTTGCTTGCAGGAGAGCCTATTTAAAATGCAAATTCTGACCTATTCAGAAGGTTCTCGAGAAAACTGTCATTGCGAATAAAATCAAACCGTTTGATCTAACAATAAGCGGAATGTACAAACAAAGGTTGCCACTCCCTTTAAGGAAACGCGACACATGTAGTCGAGCACCCTTTTATGAAGCTCCAGCAACTACAGAGGATATGTTAGCGCACATCGGTCATAGCTCTGTCGGGATTCGAACCCAAAACGGATTTCGTGGTCAAAGCGGAGTTTCGGGGCCAACGTGAGGCGAAAATGGGTTCCGTTCCGAATTTGGCCCACATTACTCTCAACGTTTGGTGAGCTAGAGCCCCTTCCCCAACTGAAAAGAAAACTTCACCCCTGAACCCCGTGATGATACTAGATAACCCTCACCTCGGTTCGCTTTTCCTCGTCCCATGCCGCGCAAGGTGTCTTACTAGTACTTGTTTCATTCAACCCCGATTCCCCCTCGCTAGCACTGATCTCACGCCTACTTTCAGGAAAAAATTGGAGCACTTAGAATAGCAAACCATTGCAAGCAGATTAGTGAAATGAATCATAAAGTTCCGTTCATACTTCAAATGGATGTTCCAAACGCTTCTCCATGTGCTGCCCAAGTCCTTATTGGACAGACACACATTTTGGTGTCTTTTCAGACACGCAGGTCATGGGTATGGGAACGGGAGGGGCCTAAGGTCCCCTCCCCTCAGTTTTCAGGGTGGATGGGCCAGCAATCTAAACTCCCCACATTTTCAGAATTGATTTATGTTTAGCTCACCCTCTGCTACCTAAAACACGCATGCCAATCTACCTACTCCACGGCCCATCTCCCTCAGTACAGATTGGATAGCATCGCTTTACATTGTAAATGACAGCAAAATTTGCTACCCTGTACAGGAAGCGGATGGAAATGTTTTGGGACCAACTTCACCACACTAGCTCCTAAAGTTACGTTTTGCCCGTTTATAGTATTGATTCTTCTACCTGTCCACTTACTGTATCTTCAGCATGGATTCATGATGTTCGAGATGAACACGTTGTAGGAGTTTGGCGTAGTCCGGCATTTAAAAAAAATGCTAGGTCTCTCATATAATGCCGGTGTGTCATGCAGGCATGATAAAATACCACTATTGCGCTACCTGGTTGAGGACTGGGGCTTTATTTGAAATGCCCACGAGGTCACAGGCGTTTTCCGTATGCACCATTATTACGCCTTTTGCCTGACAGGTATATAGGCGTTGAATGCGGTCCAACATGACAAACAAAAGCTAAGCATTCCACCTAATGCCTGGATTTTACGATCAGCATCACACACCAACATCATTTTTAGGTATATGATGACGTTCCAGATGAACATTGCACGTTCCAGGCCAAGCCTGACAAAACTGAATATAGATTACGCAGTCTGGCTATTTTATGCCTGATGTCCGGTGGAATGTATCGCACTTTCGCCTCACAGGACAGAATTGACTGCACCAACTCTTCATTTGTCAGTCATGTGGTTCTCCGCCATTTTAAGCCTACGAATCAGCCAGAGTAAGTCTTTAGGAGAGTGCCAGCGCGTCTTACGACAGACCGGCAGCCGCCGTAGCCAACGACGGCGATCAGAAAGTCAAGAGTGTACGGGAGGTATTTCGTAAAAAGTTATCGTTTCAGTGGCGCACGTCTTCATTAGATGGGCATTTGGACGGGGGTAGAACAGTGCAGCATCATGAGCTGCAAGTGTCACTTGGCGCGCGCAATGAGCTCGTATGAACCCCGTGTGAACAAGTAGAATGGGACAAATGGCGAAGAATGTCGGTCACACAATACCAGCGTTTTTGGAGAAGATTGTCGCTCTTTCATAATTAGCTCTGAGTAATGTTTTTGTTTGGGCATGACACTGATATGAGCGTTTTTTAAACATGATCCTTTCTTTTTATGTTCATATTTTGCTGTATTTGTACTGCCTTCTTCCTCCGTTCCCTTCATAAATGCACCATGTGTTAGTGTTACACTTCGTCCTGATGCCAAAAAGCCGACCTCATTTATCTGAGAGATTCGTTAAGAATTGTGCAATCCAGTAGATAATAGCTCTTTTGCTGGGGTTATTTCTGACAAGAGATTGACTTCAAAACATTTAACTAATTCATGAAAAACACGCACAACACATGCAGTGCGTTAATGCGTATACCTATGCATGTGAACCCATATATATTTGTATATATACATGCATACATACGTACATACATCCGTATATGCATATGTACATATATATATATATATATATATATATATATATATATATATATATATATATACGCTATACGCAATTTATCTACTCGTTCACATTAGTGTGGTCAATAAAGAATGCATCGTTAT